CGTGAGTTAAAGTGCAATTTGTGGTTGTCTATGTATGTGTCCATGGCAGCCGCGATACAGGGTTTATCTAGTGCGGGATACGATTTGTTATTTAAATTTGTACTAATTCAAGAACAAACTTCATAAGTCCAATTACATCAGACACATCGCTAATCGTCAGCGCCTTGTACCAGGCGTTTGTGGTAAATAAGAGCACAATGGTAGACGCGTAACCAACCGACAGCTGTTCGGCAACAATGGAGAGTCGCCTTTGCCAGTTACATAAGCGGCACATTGTGTTTACAAAACATGTTTTTGAGTTTTCAGCTACCAACAGGTCTTTCAATGCGCCGATGGTGGTACTTCATTATGAAAGAATTTTTACTTTTTTATTTTTGTGTCGGAGAAACGTGTTCACAGTGTAATTAGTAAAGAAATTTGGAATTCGGAAGATAGGGCACCTCGATTGATGCATCCTTTCACTCGTTCACGTTCAGATAACGTTCACGCGTTTCATTTATTTTGTGGTATGTCTATGTAAGTAAGTTCAACTTTAGACCTTTTTGTAATCGACTAATAATTTTTGAAACACTTCTAAACTAATTAAGCATTATAATTTTATATACCTAATAGTTGATTTCCGGGTAACGAAAAGGAAAAAAAGCTCGGTCATACGTAAAGTAATTAAGGCGCAAGACAGACGACGTTCGTTTTTTTACGCTGAGTTGTCAAAGCCTCTAATGCGACTATATACGGATATTACTGCTCCGCGTATGTAACGAGAAACGTCGTAATGTCCCAACTGTATTATCAATTTTACAACAATGGGACGAGAAGAAATTGGAGTAGAAAACATTTACCAAAATAATGTTCTGGCGAAGCTGGCTATAGCACTTTTACATTGCCAAGGTTATTTTTAAATCCAGGTTAAATAACACCGTAGCGGACTGTAAGAATGTGTACCTGTGCGAACGATGACTAAGTAAGACCAGAGCTTATTTCACAAGGTTAAATATGTTCAAAAGTAAGAAAATACCGCGAGGCAGTACTGTAAGAGAATAACAAAATCCATATATTTATTAAACGAATTTTATTTTTGTCCCGTATGCAATCCATTATTATTCATCCGATTCCTATAACCCTTTCGTGAGTTGTTATGACCACGACCGCAAAAGTTTCTGAAGTATTAGATCCCATTGCCAGGCACAAACCTTCTCGAATGAATGGAAGTTCATAGTTCACTGAGTGGCACAGTTCACTAGTGCCAATGCGGGTTGGTGATTTCACACGTTTTGATTGGCATTGCAACGCATGCCGATATAGCCAAGACTATGACATATAAAAGCGCCAAAAAAGAAATACCATTTAAATTTAGACTTTGAATAGAAAGATTTAAACATATACAAATAAAAAAGTTTCATACAAAATAGTTTTTACACTTCAAAAGCCTGTTATGGGTTATGTTAATTACATCTAAATCAACTAATTCGCAGTTTTTAAATTTATTGAGGACCTCAACGGCCCTACCGTTTCCACTGTGGGCGTCGGATGGGAAGGTAACGGGTTAGCTATCCGGTAAGATCAATTTTGGTAATTAACTTTCAAAATTGTTTCTGTTCTAGGTAGAGCCGTGAAGTGAATTCCTGCTCTGGTACTCATAGTACAGGAAATTCCCTACTTTCTCCAGGCAATTGGTGCGGTTATAATTTCAGTCTAAAAATTAATTAAATTATATTTATAATTTGATGAAATAGAGAACAAATTTTACGTTCTACTATTTTCCTGCCCAATGTATAACTCTACGTAACGTACAGTCAACAATACTCAGCATTACACTTTGGACTATTATAATAAATAGAGTTAAATTTAAATCTTGAGGTGTAAAACCGAGCGTCCGACTGTATTTCAATAATGTCGAAACGTAATAATTCTTAGTAGAATGCGGTCGGAGTGCCATTAAAAGCGTCTTTAGATTCGGCAATATGGAGCGAGACGAAGCGGCTCAGCCATGTGTGGTATGAGAGACAAATGAAAGTGACAATACGTTTTAGTGACGCATAGTAATAAAATTGCAAATGGTAAGACATAAAACTCGCATTTACGAGTTCTATAATTTGATTTCTTTAATAATAATAATAACCATTTATTTCCAATTCACAATGGCATTTGACAATAACAAGTGTCAGGCCATTGTGAGAGAGCGGAACCTGTAACAGGGAACCCTGATACTTCAGGACCTTGCGGTAAAAAAAAAACTAGCTCACAAAGTCAAAAGGCCGTTACTTAACGCAATAAGTTCCTTGTGAAAGAGTTTGTCCAGGGAAGTATTGCCACCTTACTTATCTACCGCCAAACAGTAATGTAAGCATTAATGCATTCCGGTTTTGAAGGGTAAGGGTGCTGGCGATATTACAGGCACACGGGACTTGTCAACGTATGTCTCAGGGTGGCGGGCGCAATGGTAGTGCCTTCAGATATTTGCGATGTGTAGACTGGTACTGCAACTGCTATGGACAGGCGTGTCGCTTACCACCAGGCCGCACGAATTCTTCGTCCCGTCACTTAATATAAATTTAAAAAAATTTAAAAAATATGCTATTCCCATTTCTGTCGTATTTGAATTGGATATCATTTTACACTATGGACAAAAATTTAAAACTTGACACTTTAGTTTTAGTTCCGTAGTTAAATAACTAAATTTAGAAGAAAAAATCTATCATTCGAAAATACATTTCAAAGGCCATAATATATACAGTACTATTGTATTGTGATCACTCATAAAATATACCGAGCAATCTAGACTCGTAGTTGCGTAACGTAACGTCTAAACACCCCTTTTGCTTACGTAAACGCGGTACACATCGTCACTATAATTATATATCTAACAGTTTTTGAACGGATCTAGTCTTGGTATTAAAAATCAAATGTGATTCAACAATGTCACATGCAAATAAAACAACACCATTATATCAGGACATGGTATTTATTGTACAAAAATATTGTGCGAGCGTGTAACTCATGTCTCACGACATACACAAACAAATATTATAACCTATTTTTATGTATAAAATGCATTCACTCAGTATTAGACATAGCCTATTCGTTTATAGTATAGAGTGTGTATCGTTGAGTCTTACAACCACGAAAGCCGCCACGCCCTTTACAAATCCCAACACAAGCACAGGCCCGGCGTGGCCGAAACCCATTATTAATTCAAAATTCAATTTACATATATTTCCCTACTCTTCTCAGCGATCCCTTCGATGTAATAAAATGAAATTCGGCTGTTTAAGTGCGCCGCCATACTACAAAATAATCAATGTAATAAAAGAGCTACTCTCTTCCTTTTAGGTAAAATATATATTGCGTGAAGAGAGGATCTTTTCATCGCTACAGATCATTTAGAGTCGAGATAATGTAATAAATAAATAACCCAATTGACAGAGTCCCTCTAATACGTGTTACAGACGGAATTCAAAGCAGATAAGGCCGTAATAACTTCTCGTCTACGCCGGACCTGTCACAGAGAACAAAAAAGCAAGTACCGATTTATCACGTCGTCCCACGCACGCGTTCAGCTATATAGGCAAACATAAAAATAAAAGAACAGCCCATGGAGTGTAAAACCCAACGATAATGGTGTACAACAGAATGTACAGTCCATGGATAACTTAGTCATATTCACATTATCTACATTAAGGAACTTTATCTGGGATCGCCTACGCCGAACGGAATGTCCTGCGAATGCGGACTGTCACACGATTTTGGATTCGCCGTTTATAAAATTTATTAGTCGTTTGTCAGAGACTTAAACACCAAAAGTAACATTGCACAATTCCGCATCAGTCAATCACGATACAGCGATAAGGTGTAAATCTATAAAAAGAAACATACCATTCAATTATACTTAATCACTCAACAATTTTTCCAGACGGTTGAGCAGTCATTTTTATTAAAATGTTAAGACGTTTTGTAGCAGAGCAGGAAACTGATAACATTCTAATTCATAGCAAGAACATAAAAGATCAATATACGTACACAACAATGTGAATGACCTGAGAATGCACGTAGCAAACATAGATAACATTTCTAATGGAATTGTTGTAGTAGCTATGGAAACAGACTTGTTATGAAGCGATAAGGCGGAAAGGTGTAAGCAGTGAGCAAACTTTGGATTTACCGGGTTTAAAACTATGAGATGAAATGATGGAATGGTGAAGAACAAGGTGATAAAAAGGACATGTAATGATAATGCGCTTTTAATGGACGATGACGATGATGATGATTTTGATCCTCGTAAATATGATAAAGAATTTAATGATACGTTTCATAAAACGAAACCAACTGGAATGAAGCTTGTAAAATGAGATGCCACTAACGTTAATGAAGCAGTCTTATTGCGTTTGCTTTTATGAAGTTGCAATGGATTGACAAGTTATATGAACCTTTCGATGTTATGGAAAGCATGAAATGGAACGTACGTAACATAAGGTATATGAAATAATATTAAAAGTGTAAATGAAAAAAATATCAGGTTAGATGCTTCTAATAACAGTACAAACTTAACATACTATCGGGTGTTTTCGACGTGACCAATTGTGTTTAATATTTTGATTACAATTACCGATAAGGAGGGAAATTATGCATTCTTTACATTTTAACTTAATTTCGACTTGTAGTCTCCGTTAAATGACAAAAAGTATAAGATAAAGACGTTGTCTGTGAAAGGGTCGGCAAAAGTGGAATGAAAAAAGTCATTAGCGCTAGGAACCGGTGCTTGCGCACGAGGCGCCACCCGGAACGGTGCGCGCGGAGAAAACCGCGGGAAACCGCAATAGCGTAGTCGCGGCACGAGAACCGTGTCAGTAGTGTGAAACGCTAATTGCGCGCCGTGGTATGGTTCTATGGAAGTACGAATCTCCGCCGGCTTCCCCATATTCCGAATGTAATTTACGTACCTTACGTGAAGGGTGTCAGTTGCTATAGAAAGATGATTGCAACGGTATGAGAAAAATATATTGTGGAATCCTTTGACCAATCAGTATGAATAGCACATTATTTTATTCAAGTATCAAATTGATTTAAAAATGAAATAAAATCAGTTACATAACTATCCGAATTACAAATAAGTAAAACAAATGGTATTAGTGCTCTTTTACTGAACTCTGAATAAATAATATTAAAGGGCGAATCGGTGAATCCTTCGACATTTACCTAGATAAAGTTCCCGGTCAGCTTCCTATGCTATTGTTAATAATAAATTAATTATAGAATCTACAGGAAACCGATTTGGAGATCTCAATTTTTACGGGTTGCGATGAGACGCTCCGTGCGTGCCTCGCTGTGACAATTTGAGACCAGCTCAAATGGCGAGCGTAGAGCTCCTAGGACTGGTGGCATGATGTCACCAGTCAGCATTTAACGAGGAATTCGATCACAAGTGCCTCAAGTAGTAACTAAGGCTAAATCACAAATGTTGCGCGATGGCGGCCCACTCACTGTAGCGGGTGAGCATCCCGACTCTGACACATTCTCACTCTGTTTTCCTTCAGCACTAAAACCATTTCTGTCACTAATAACAGCACTGTTCACTTTTGGATCGAAACTCGCACATCTGTTCACGGCACTTTCACTTTTATCGGCGAAGAAGGAGCGGCGGTCGGAGTTCGTAGCCGGGGGCGAGGTCGAAAACAACTTGATTTCCAAGTCACGGTGGCCGTTCATCGAAGTAACGATTTCAGAGGATATTTCCAAAGCCAATGGCGAACGTGGTTCAGGAGAGCTAGCGCGTCGTGAGGGTGGAAACAAGGAATACAGATTTGGTGCAGAATAATTTTCAGTGTTGGTCACTTCACGTCTGTCGGGCACTCGAGACGAAGGATCACTCCAACTGCGTCGTAATGTCGTATCTGCACCTCGTCTGCCGAGCGGTCCGACAACTTTCATCGATTCTTCCAACTTGGTAGGCGCAAAATCACCACAGGAATTCTCATCAAGTAAATCGGCAATTGAATCCGCGTCCCAAATTTGTCCAACAGGGTCACAATACCGGCACTGACAGGAACTCACTGCCGACTCTGCAGGTGATGCTGCTTCAGATAAACCAAATCTAGTACCTTCCAGCGCTTCACCTAACGCTGAAACTCTGTATGTCTCGGGCACAGGCTCAGGGTACTCCAGCACTTTCACGTCTAGTCGGTATGGTAAAGACATCTCACGGCAATAAGATTCCTTATAAACTCCGTGAGGCATCGTCACGATGCCCGAAACTGCACAATGTTCCACATCAACGAGATCCAATCCAACCGCAGTCAAATCGTGTGGTATTAAGTTGTTCGGCTTTCTATCCTTTTTACGACGTTTTCGCGGTTTTATAATTCTGGGCAACATAGTTTCAGAGTTGTTAGAGCCGGAACTCTCGTCACTAGCGACACTAACAGCATCCGTGTTGTTGTTGTTGTTGTTGTTATTACGTCCGCCTCGCGTGGAACGCGCTTGCTGCTGCTGACTGTGGAGCCTGTTGCTTTCGGGTGTATCGCATTTATCTCTAGTAGTATGCTCCGCATGCGCTGGTTGCCTCTGTTGGTTGCGCTGCTCCGGTGTGGTGGTGTATTTTCGTCTGTCGTGTCTGTTCTGTATGATAAGTGGAGCACCCTGAGCGTGTATTGCCAACTTGGAGACTGGAGTATTCCGAGAAGGTGGTGCACGTCCCGCCATGGATATGAGAGGCGCGCCAAGCCACGCATTCGGGTGCGGCACACCGTAGGGCGGGTAGTAGGGCGGCGGGAAACCCGGTGCGCTGGTAGGATACTGGGGGCGAGCGGGATCGCGACGCCCGAGGGCGGCGCGCTCGCCCGGACTCATCGCGTTTCGGGGGGTGTTTAACCCATATTCGAAAAAGTTGTGTTCACTGTCACGGTAAAAGTCCGAGTTGCGAGTCGATGTCGAAATCGTACACTAACATCTGCAGCGCGGACCGGGCGCGTGCGTTCGCCGAAGTAGTCGGCAGAGGACTGAGTGAATGAGGGCCGCGGCCGCGAGTGCCGAGTGGGAGTGCCGCCACGCGACTTATCGCCGGCGTCGATGCACCGGAAAGCTTTACAGCCCTAATCGTTTCACAATTAAACCCACCGTTGTTTACTTTCGCGGTGTACATGATTTACTGTCACTCGTATTTTCCACGCTTTGTTTGCTTTACTAGACTAAGCCCAAAATAACTCGAAAGCAATGAGGAACTAGGGTAAATAGTGTACCAGTATTTTTACGCTATGTTTACTACAACGAAATATTTTATAATTTGGTTTTATTATTAAAAAGAAGTCATTAAAATAACTACTCTTCTGATTTAAAGACATTTTGAACGTAAATTAGTCTTTAACCGACAAAGTTATTCAGAATGAATATGCACTTGTCAGATTTCATGCGCCAGCTTGACCTATTTTGAACAGTGGCTTGCCGAGCTCACAATTAACTAAATTGATAACTTACTTTATATAAAGCGTTATACAAACTTCAAGTTTTGTAGAGGCTGCGACAGAACATTTCTCTTGTTACGTAATTATTTTTATGCAGCTATAACTTACCGCTTTCACCTCGTCGCCGGTTAAACCATCGAGCACGCTTACCTATAACAATAAAAATGTTCATTAATATCAAATACCATGAGTCAAAGCACTCGCACAATAAGGAAATGTAAAAGTAAATAAAGCCCCTAAACGGCTCGTTTCGTTTTAATAAAATCCTAACGTGTTGGGATATAAAACATGTTTGTAGGGTCGTAAATTGTTTTGAAAACAGCTTGCTTGTTTAATATGGTTAACATTATACAAATGAATGTGTCGTTCAGGGCCAATGTACAGGGACAAATGTACGAAGACTACATATGTACACATTTGGGCCAACTGTATCAATAATATTTACTTTTTTTTGTGTATTATAAAGAATGTAAATAAAGGTGCCGCCATATTTAAGCTAGCGATCGTTACAAGAAAATTGGCAAATTTTTGCAACAAAAAGAAACCCATTATTTGCAAACTATGGGAATTTTGTTTCCGTTTTGTTGAAAATTAAGCATTTATTTGCAACACAACAAATATTACGTTCATTCGTAATAATGGACACGACATATAGCGACGGCATGGAAAGATCATTTTTTAAACACAATGTTTCAAATTATTATTTTGCTAAAGGTGTATGTTACCAAGAGAGTGTTCAGTAAACACAATTCTTTGTTACACCTATTAATATTCTTAATAATATTATTCTTTGTTATATTTTAAAACAGTAGTGATGACCGCCTCGGTGGCCGAACGGTTACTACATAGGTCTGCCACGCTGAGATTCCGGGTTCCATTCCCGGACTGAGGGGAATATTTATATGGCCTACATTTAACTCACGAGGAGTTTGCATGTAAAGTGTATGCATAAAAAAGGCAATTAAGAGGAAGGTTTTGCGGGTTGACAATACCAGTAAAGCTGTAATGTAATACAAACTGTATAACTGTAACTTTGATCAAGTTTTAGTTTTATGTCTTGAGTCGCGTTCTACTACGCCCAAAATTATAAAATTGTTATTGGAAACCATATGGAAAATCTAATGGTTGTTTCAACCGCCTTATACAATATTGACAACATTCCATAAGATTTCAATAAGTATTTGTTGTACAAATTGTATTTGTGTTCGTATTCGATTTTCTTCTTCGTCCTTGGCGTTGGCGATGAAGTGAAAGTAAACCCGATGAGTCATGAAGGCTCTTTCTCAATAAACGTTGTTTATACCCACGTACAGCCAACAACACACTGAGTTTAAAATTTTAGATCCTCTTATCTCAACTGACAAATAATTCAATGTTTTTTTTGAGACTTATAGCAAATGCTATTTAAATATAGTGATAAAATATTTCGGAATATATCAAATGTTGTCGCATTAAAAAGCAAAATGTAATAATCCTTTCCAACAACAACACGAATAATGAAATCTATATAGTTATTTTCATATCATTTCACAGCTTATTTTTAAATAATAATGGTAAGATACACACGCCTGTCCATTATAATTTGAAGTGTCACTCAGAGCTTTAAATTGCAAAGATCTGAGGGCACTGCCACTGCGCCCGTCACCCTGAGACAAGTTGACACGTTCCATGTGCCTATAATTTCACCAGCACCCATACCCTTCAAAACCAGAATACAGTAATGCTGACATTACTGCTTTGCGGCAGAAATAGGTAAGGTGGCAGTACTTCATCGTCATTCGGCATTCATCATGTCCATATCAAAATGTCCCTGTCTCTGTCACATTTACGGTATTTACCATATATCAGAGAGGATTAGGCAGAAATGCTATATGGAATCTATGGATTAGTAATACTAATTAGTAATGAGTTATCATTCGGATTATTCGAATACGAAAATTTACTACGTCTAACCATTTATTTACCTTTTGACTTTTGAAGTTCCGTAATTATTGACATACAACCATTTGCCTCTGCCACCAACCAACCAACCAACCAACTGCCTCCGCGGCCGAACGGTTACCATGCCGGACTGCCACGCAGAGGTCCCAGGTTCGATTCCCGGGCCGGGATAAATACTTGTATGGCCTATATTTATTTCTCTCGTGAGTTTGGGTGTAATTTGTGGTTGTCTATGTGTGTGTCCATGGCACCCGCGACACAGGGTTTCCCTAGTGCGGGGCTATGTTGATTGTGAGCGTTATTATTTTTATTATTTGCAAAAAATGCAATACTCCCTGGACTCTTTTATTTTTTAACTTTAGTGAAGCGACGTGCTCTTTAGCTCCGATATTTATCGAGATTACAGATTATGTGATGAAGATTATTCAAGGTGATAAATTTTGGTACTCATCTAATAAATTAAAATGAAATAAATTATAAATAATTATAATAAATTCTTATTTTTTATTATAATGAATCGTCGGATTCTTCTCCACATGAACGAAATCATTACTTGAATCCTCTTTAACATTAATTATTGAATTCTTAAGCACACAAATTGTCAAACGCAACATCACGAACCCAATCAGACAATATCTTCTTTTATGAACCCGCTCACATTCACGATTAAAACTTCTTCATAAATAAAATCGATTGTTATAAAAAATCGAATCAGAACGCATTAGGACATCACTAATTGATTAGAATTCGAGCTGTCAAAAGTTAAATAAATGGTTGGACAGAGTTAGTAGGTTACTAATGTGCCATTCGAATGACAGGATAAATAATTACTAAAATTGATTCTGCCCAGTCAATTTAAATTTTGAAAATATAATATATGTTCTTAGAAATATAGCATTACTTCCGAAAAACAGTGCTGATATAAACATAACCTTAATCTTAGAAACAGTAATGAACTGCGAGCCCTATGCTCATACTGACAAAGTTAGCTCGTCATTTGTAGGGCACTGTTTACTTTTTTATAATAAAATTACAGAAATTGTATAATATTTATCAGAAAAAATGTTTAAAATGTACTAATTAAAATAAAAAAAAGCTTATTATAAAATCAAGGATTACATAGATCGCACCCCTCATGGAATAATGGCATAAGTGGAGTTACGTCAAACATGTTTATTGCTCCATTAGATACCGAAAAATATAACCGAAAAAATCATTCTTCTCAGGTGAAATTAGTTGCTAAGGTCCAGTGGTTTTTGTATTAATGTGACGACTTCAGGTGTAATTTTATTACACCTTGTATATAATTATACTTTGTAGGTATATTATATCAATAAAATTATAAAATAAAATAAAACTTTCAAAGACGTTTTTAAAAATTTATTATTGGACAATACTGCTATTTTAACACTATTGTATTTTAAAACGTTTTTATTCTACTATTTAGTTTTATATTAATTATTATTGTTTATATTAGTGATGCTACATTTAATTTGAAATTCACCATGAGCTTTTCGGCGAAGGAAAACATGATGAACCTGCAAGGTTCACAATCCTCGGAAAACGTGTGAAGAAGTCCTCAACTCGCATTGGGCCAGTGGCATAATATGGTCTAAACCCTCGCCTAAGAGGAGACACATGCCCAGCAGTGCCACGAATGAATAGGTTGATGATGATATTAGTGATGCTATATGACCCGTCTCCGCATTAACTACAGTGTCGAAACTGAGTGACGTAAGAGCTCTCTCAGCTATCAAAAGCGAACATATTCTCTAGTGATCGTCATGTCTACCTTGTGTATTTCTACGCGAGTATAAGTCATTAACAGAACTCTTAAAGTACCTATTTATTTTTGTTGAATGTCATGGTATTTTTACTATCATGACGTTCATCTATTTTTTGTAAAAGGGTAAAAAAATGTAATTTACAATTTTATTATTTAAGTATTGGAGAGTATATTATCGTTAAATATTAAATAATATTTCAGGATACTTTTTTGCAATTACCGTATCCACGGCTACGGTAATTAGATTTAATTACCGTTTGCATAAAATATTTGTGTCGTAATAACTCGAAAACTACTTTGTTTATTGTAATGCCATTTAGACATATTAATCGTTTAGCTTAAAGTTATTCTATATATATATATTAAATATTTCAATGTTATTGGATATTAATATATCCGAGAAAAAACAATGGCTACGATAATTTGGCTAAGAATACCGAAATGGCTACGGTAATTAGTGGACCTAAAATGAGTTGCTCTGATAAATTTACCTTATTCTAATTACGACAGTTAATCTAAGGGTCGTATTCCAGAACTCTACTCAATGCTCAAGTCAGGATTTGAATATGGTTTAAAGCACTCGAAATCATATTCAAGTCCCTGCCATTACGGTCGTATTTCCAGTGCGTGTGTTTCAATTGTAATCCTGACTTGAGCATTGAATAGAGTTCTAGAATACGACCCTAAGAGTGGTTACCTACATAGTGATTTTTAGCAGCTTTTAATGCAATCACCTATAAACCCCAAGTGTAGCGATGCAATCGCGCATTTGCATCGCTGCAGTCGTGTGCTAAAAGGCAGAATTTTCTCATCTGACAATGTATTTTAAATTGCAATATAAAAGATG